CAAATGCTAGTTTTTTGCAAGGGAAAACATAGATCGCCAATTTAATTTTTAATAAGTGGTATTCTTAAATGGGATTAGATTTAGATTAGATCAAACATTGGCGTTGTAATTTTTAAACAATTAATTGCGGAAATGCAAATGCTTACGGGCCTATATTAATGCAAAAGGGCATATGAGTTTTTTAATTAACATAGTGCGAAACAGGATTTTTACAGAATTGGCCAGTCAAATGTGAGCGTCGACAGGCAGCTGTTGCTGACAGCTGGCTTGGAGGGGAAGTTCGAAAAAATGAAATCTTTCGAAGTTCATATTTTTTCGGAGTTTTCAAAAACAAAAGTAGCCGATACCACCGGAGTTTTCTGTGGCATCCCTGATTATTTTTTATTTTTTTTTGGGTACGATACCATAATGGGAACAAGAAAGGAATGCTAAAGTCAAGCGGACTCAATTCTTAAATACCCTCTACCACCCCACAAAAGAAAATTAATTTAAAATTTTGTATTAAAATTTCATGTACAATTTCAACAGCACACCTTTACATCATAATCGTGTCTATGCGTGTTTGTGTAATTGTAAATATGTGTGCTGTACATAATTATGTCAAAGCAGCAGCAACAACAACAGCTGCGGGCAGAGCTTGGGCAGAGATTATATTTATGGCTATAACTTTTTTCATAATTGTCCTATCATGATGAATCTTGGCATACGGGCATACAATCACTGGATGTGACTACCAAATTTGAGTTCCAAATTCCAAGAATAACGGGAGTTATGAAAAATCACTAATAGCGGGAGAGTGGAGGGTACATCGGAAAAAATTAACAAACTTGATCTACCTAGGGCTTAGCGGAACCTAGATACCAACTTTGGTAATTCCAGCTCTTGTAACTTCGGAGATTCTTGCGTTCATGGACAACATCGACTCGTCTTGTCATCGTCATTAATATACATATGTATGTATGTATATAAACTTGGTTGGGTCTGCCACGCCTCTTTCTGTGTGTTACATTCACACTAAACTACATAGTACCGTTAAACTTGGTATTCGAGTCAAGTTTGTTTATTTTTTCTGATGCTGATTATACCATGTACCCGTAGAGTAAAATGGATATATTAGGTTTGTGCAAAGTATGTAACAGGCACAAGGAAACATCTCCGACCCCATAAAGTACATACATACATATGTATGTATATTCTTAGTCAGCGAGACGAATCGATCTAGACATGTCCGTCCGGCTGTCTGTCTGGATTCTCCTATGTCCGAGAAAGGACGAGTTTATTTTATTTTTTGGAATTTCCCGCTCGGCTCTAGCATGTCTATCTTATTTTATTTTTTATTGTTACATGTAAGTACTTACACAAATAATAACTAAATCTATATATTAAGTAAAGTCATTGCGATTACAATCCCGGCTTTTATTAAAGTTATCCAATTAAGATAAATCATAGATAACTTACAAAACAAGATTCAAAGAGCTCTTTTAAATCATTTCTATCAGCAGAGGACGCAATGAAAAATATATCAAATGGGGCGTCTCTAGTTCGTTTTTATACTTGCCGAGAAACTTGCTATAATTAAATTGTTTTGCTACATTGCCGTTTTGTTTTTAAAGTGTAAAAAGTTGTGTTTCCAATGGCAATAAGAAAACCTGAAAATCACATGATATAGTAAACGGATTAAAGATTTGTGCTTTATTTTCATATTTTATTTAAGCAATTTTAAATTTTATAATTATTATTATATTGCATATAGAGCATTACATTACAATACATATATTTATTAATAATAAATAATAAACATTTGAAATCAAAGTTATTTGAATGCCTAGCACGCCGTGGACTTTTCGATTGGTTTGAATGAAATTTGTATGTATGTGTATAGCATACCTTTTAGCTTTTTTTTGCTTTACTGGGCTTGATATCCCGATTTAATTTTGTTATATTTTCGTTTAAGTATTGACTTGCAACTTTTGCTATTGTTTATTTTTGTCAAGCGTCATCATTCTATATAAGTATAAATTGAACTTTTGTCTATGCTGTGGTAATTTCATAAGCATTTATGTTGTTTCGTTTATTTAGGTCTAATAAACTTAAAAGCGTTGTTAGCCTAACTGGTAGTAGCTTCTTGATTTAATAATTATATTTTAACTGATTTATAAAATGTAAATAACAGTGTTTATATGAAAATATAAAATATACTAGTACATATATACCTCGAACAATTCGTTTAAAATAAAACTCATTTTATGGCCACTCTCAAATCTAACTTTTTAAAACGAACCAAAAACAGTCTTGATCTTTTCCAAAAATCTTAATATACATTGAAATATATCTCAAAATTTTAACAAAAGAGGTCTTACGTTTAATATACCGATGGAGAACATTTTCATGATTTTAATGAACCTATAAATAAAGACCATTTAAAATAAAAACTCTATCAAAAGTAAAAACTTTAAAATAATAAATAAAATAATGCTTCAAAAGTGCGGCGGAAAAAAAGAATGTACAGAAATGCAATACGAGCCACTAGGTGAATTTTTCTGCCAAAAATCTCTCTTAAGAAACTGATACTGTTCTTATCTAAAGTCAAAACTGAGTAGGCTTTACTGTGGGGATAGATACAATAATTGGCGGTAAATATAAAATGCCTGATGTGATACCTGTTTAATACAAGTAACGACTAAAGCGGAGCGAACATATAACATTTGTAGCTAGCAGATGAATAAGCTTAATACTTGTAGTATTGCTAATTAAGGTTCCCAAAATGCGTCTCACATTCAGTCTCACTTCAGAGAATGTGAAGTAGGCTCCATCATATTATGTCCTAACGCATATAAGAGTTGCACTATGCACAATATATACGAGTATACATATATACGAGCCCTAACTACTATTAATTGGTTTTTATAGTGCAACTTTCAATGACTTATTTTTATCTGTTGGTGATGATTGTACAAACATATTTACACTTTTTAAAAAGGTCATTGAGTTACTTTTAATTTCATATCATAACGTGCACACGTGTCACATAACAATAATGCAAAAAAAAAAACTATTTAAATAAGACAACTTTATAATACAGGAATATTTCTGACCATTATTAATTGGTACGGCAATATTATTTTTTCAAATAAGACTGTAAAAAAGTAAAATGTCAACATAAACTATAAAACTAACCTTATATAAAAAACATATGCCTTTGAGTTGTAATTTTTAATAAGCTTACTAATTTTTGAGCACGATGGCACGAGGTAAGCCAGTTTGTAAGTAAGGTCAAGCTTCGAATATAGAAAAATTTAATTGGTCAACAACTATGGCAAAGTATGAATAAATCGTATGCTTCAGTCTACGGTACAAAATAAAGTTCAAAAGTATAGAGACTGACAATATTCACAGTAATACAGCAAACGGATGTTAAGTCTCGAAAAAATATTGGTAAAACAATAAAATATGAATGTACGCGGCAGAAAATGAAACGAACTTAATATGGCTTCTATAAGGTATGATTACAGCTCCTGCTGAACATAACAAATAATTTTCATGTTTTTAGGTCAAAGAATAGATTAGGGAATACTTTTCAACACGATGTTGCATCTACTTGTATACACCCCGTAAAAACAACCGATAATTGGTTTCAAGAGAATGGTATTGATGTCCTAGATTGGGCATCATCAAGCCCAGGTCTAAGCCCAATAGAAAACTTGTGGGTAATCATTAAAAGAAAGCTGAAAAACGACCCAGAACGTGTCCTGTCTGGATTAAAATCAAAATTGCATAAAATGTTGGACTTTATAACTCTTGAAGAATGTCTAAATTTAGTTAATACTATTAAAACGAGAATTAAAGCTATTATTAAAGAAAAGGTGATACTCAGGTTCAATTAGTAAATATTGTTGCCGTACCAATTAATAATGGTCAAAAATATTTCGTTTATTATGAAAGTTGACTTATTTAAATTGGTATTTTGCATTACTGTTTGTGAAACTTGTGCATGTTTTGATATGAAGGTAATAAATTACCTTTTTAAAAAGTATGAATATGTTTAGGCAATAATCACCTAAAAAGAAATATAAGTCATTAAAAGTTGCGCTATCGAAAAAAAAACGTAGCCGTACCAGTTAATAGTGGTTCGGGCTCATATATCCGTACGTTTGTATGTACTTGTATATAGATGTGTTTTGCTTTGAGAGTGCCTCATACATATGTATGTATACCTATATGTGAATATATATTACATGAAAGCAATGTGTTAAGCTTGGTTTGCTGTTGTTGTTTTAATACTCTGTACATAAAATATACATGATTGTTTGTTTTATGTTTGCGAGAGGTGAAAAATATAACAGGGAGAAGGAGGTGTGGCTGGCCCCACAAAGTATATACATATATTCTTGATCAGAATTACAAGACGAGTCAATCTAGCCCTGTATCAAACAGATAAAGGCACCAAGTTTTATACACACACGCTGTGTGTACGCTGTACGAGTTTGTTCGATTTTTTCGATACTTGGGAATACCTCATTTGAATGAAAGTTATAGCAATTAATGTAATCTCTGCCCGCAGCTGATGTTGCTGCATTTCACAGACATATAGATACAATTCCTATGTAAATGTGCAGTTATACCTTTAACATTTTTTGTTGTTAAATTACAGTTTTGTTACTTTTTTTTAATTTTTTAAAATTCCTATAATTCTACAGGCATGTACAGAGTATGTTATAGTCGGGACACCCGACTTTAGGTTCTCCACTTGTTTGTATTCATTTTAGTAACGCTTTTGCGCATTTATAAATATTTCTTGCATTCGCATACGATTCAAATGATACCATAGTAATTGTAGTAATGAGTATTACATTTTGCTTTTATTTTCTTATTGAGTACATATATATATATATATATATATATATACATATATATATATATATATATATATATATATATATATATATATATATATATATATAAATAAAATAATATATATTCATATATTTTTACGTACCCCGCACACTTCCCTTTCAATATGTATTTACTTTATCTATAAATATCTGCATATTTGCTCTAAATACTTGTATAGATTAGCTCCGCTAGCCAGAAAGCATTGTTCTTCAAACTATGCAAGTACGTTTACAAATGTAAACATGCACTAAGCTTTTATTTTGTTTCTAACGAGCTAAGAAGTTTTTTATATTCTTTTGTTGAAGACATACATCGTACTCGTACGCCTCGCGTTAAATAATTATTTAATTAAAATAAAATTTATATATAAATACAGACAGATATAGAGTGTAGTGGCATTTAAAAAAATTTTTTTTTAATTTTTGAAGCGCTTGCTTCGTTTATGTAGGGCAAAGCACCTTAAGTATATAGTCCGTCAGAAGCGTTGGTACTGTAGGACTATCTTCGTTAATGGCCTTGAGTACTAGAAATGATCATAGAGGTTGTGTAGTATGTATTAGAAATGTGATTCGGGGCAGAAAGCTAATGATACTTACTTTTGATTAGCACCTGCAACGATTGATTGTTTGGAGTGCCGTTCTCCAAGTGATACGGTATGACAGTCGTCAGGTATTTGGGATCCGGACCTGCAAAATATACCGATATTGGGGTCACTTTGATGAGAAGACGCTGACTAATAAAATTACCTTGGAATTTCCCACGTTTCTTCTCTACGTGATATTGTCTGCGCTTGTTTTGCACCGCCAGCAACAATGAAATGAAAGAGTTTTTCAGCTCCTTCTCAAACTCGAGCTCGTCGCGTAACGCTAACTCATTGATGAGCGTTTCGCTCAGCTCCTGTATAAGAACTTCCATTTCCATGTAGAGCTCATTTAGCTGTGTAGTAGTGACATATTGCAGTTCTACAAAATCAATCAAGAATAAATCAATAATTTTCGTAAACAATTTCGCTTCTTATCAAATTTGTTTTCTACTCACTTTCCGCATAAAGCGGTGCACCTAAAACTTCGCGGGCCTTTTCTATGACCTCAGATTCGCATGCATCTGGCTCCTCCAATGGACTCTCAGCCTCATCCATTATGTCATCGATTTCCTTTATCACCTCTTCCACAGATTTAATGGGTTCATCGGCATCGCCATGCAAGCCGTTCAATATCAATGCATGCATATCGAGATCATTTGCGACAGCTTCGTCCTCGCTGGCTAAATCGTTGAACTCATCTCCCGGGGTTTGTGCATCCAGAAAATTATGCTGCTGCTGTTGTTGCTGCTGCAGTTGATTGCGGTGTTGTTGCTTTGTATGATTCTGGCCTAGATTAAGGGTTGGCATATGCATCTGACGAGTGTACGACTTAGACCAATCGATTGGCAATATATTGCCAAAATTTCCCGTTATTGTCCACCACATTCTGCAACACAAAAAAACAAAGGGAATAGTTTTTAGTTGTTGTTCGTGCAAGTAGTTAGCCCTTTTAAAGACACGTACTTGTATTGCAAAGGATTTTTATACTCTGTACATAAAATGTACAAGTATATATTAGGTTTGCGGGAGGTGCAAAATGTAACAGGCAGACAATGTATATATATTCTTGATCAGCATGACAAGACGAGTCGATCTATGTCTGTCTGTCTGTCCATACGAACACCTGAATCTCCGAGACTATAAGAGCTACAGACACCAAATTTTGCACCAAGATGCGTTATGTGTATACAAGTTTGTTTTTATTTTTTTTGATTTTCCCCCCCACTTACCATCTGTGGGGGTTTTTCCGATTTTCCATTTGTATAATCGCCTATATCTCAGAGACTAGGGACACCAAATTTAAGTCCCAAATGCCTTATATGAATACGCAGAAAATGTGCATTTTGGAATTTCCCTCCGTTCCCCCTCTCACGCAAAAACAATGATTTTTCCGAACTCCCGATTTTTTTTCGGAATTTTTCATTGAAATTGGGAAAATCCTTTTAGTTCGTGATTATGAGTCCGTATGCCTCGTCCAGAAATTGAGGACTGAAGTTTTTAGTAAACAAGTGGAGAAGATTATGTCGGGTGTCCCGACTTTGAAATACTCTGTACATACAGGGTGCGCCACCTTTAATGTCGGTATGTAAGCATTGAATATCTTTGAAAATAAACAACCGATTTTCAAGTATGAAATATTTTTATTATACTCTGTACATAAAATGTACAGAAGTACAAGTATATTAGGTTTGCGGGAGCTGAAAAATGTAACAGGCAGAAGGAGGCGTGGCAGACCCCACAAAGTATATATATATTCTTGATCAGCATGACGAGACGAGTCGATCTAGCCCTGTCTGTCCGTCCGTATGAACACCTGGATCTCAGAGACTATAAGAGATAGACACCAAATTTTGCACAAAGATGCCTTATGTGTGTATTCTATACGAGTTTGTTTTATTATTTTGATTTTCCCCCCACTTCCCCCCTATGGGGATTTTCCCGATTTTTCATTCGTATAATCGCCTATATCTCGGAGACTATAAGACCTAGGAACACCAAATTTTAGTCCCAGATGTCTTATGTGAATACGCAAAAAATGTATATTTTGGAATTTCCCTCCCTCTCCCCTCTCCCATGCAAATCGTAACTCCCGTAATTCTTGGAATTTCGAACTAAAATTTATTTAACAAGAAGTTATAGCCATAAATATATTTGCTGCTGCAGCGCTGCTAGCGACTGTTGTTGATGCTGGTGCTTTGGTTGACTGCACACATGTTTACACAGGCATGAATAGATGCGCATACATACACTCACACAGACGCAATTGCTATGTAAATGTGCAATTATAAACCCTTTACATGAGTTCGAATACCGAGAGAGGTAAAATCGATCAAATTTTTTTTTTATTTTCTTAATTTTTTTATTTTCTATAATTATTGTAAGCATGTGTACAGAGTATTTCAAAGTCGGGACACCCGACTTTAGCTTTTTTACTTGTTATACCCTGTACCCGTAGGGTAAAAGGGGTATATTAGGTTTGTGCAAAGTATGTAACATGCACAAGGAAGCATCTCCGACCCCATAAAGTATATATATTCTGAATCTCTGACGAGAGAAATCGATCTAGACATGTCCGTCCGTCCGTCTGTCCGTCTGGATGAACGCAAGGATCTCAGAAACTATAAAAGCTAGAATAACCAAAGTTGGCATCCAGATTCTCCTAGGTCCGAGAAAGGACGAGTTTATTTTATTTTTTTGGAATTTGGGCGCATATAACTCAATGACGGAAGTTTACCTGGGTACAGGGTATTACACTGTCGGGCTTGCTCGACTGTAGCGTTCTCTCTTGTTTAATTTGGTTCTGTACAATTTCTTGAACTGAGGTTTTCAACACTGGTCTACTCAAGTCAATCTGTTCACTAATGACAAAGTTATTCAATATTTACATACCGACATAAAAGATGGCGCACCCTGTATGTGTAGAATAATTTATTATAAAAAAGTTTACAAAAATTTTATAATTAATTTAAAATAACTAAATAGATTTCATAAATTTCATTAAATACGAAATCTTCAATACATACATATGTACAGGGTGCGCCATCTTTTATGTCGGTATGCAAACATTGAATATCTTTGAAAATAAACAACCGATTTTCAAGTATGAGATATTTTTATTTGATTTGGTTTTGTACAATTTCTTGAACTGAGGTTTTCAACACTGGTCTACTCAAGTCAATCGGTTCACTAATGACAAAGTTATTCAATATGTACATACATAGCTTGTTTTATTTTTTTGATGAACACGGGGGGCTGTGTGTAAAGGGAATTTTACGTAGCGCGTTCGTATAATCACCTATATTTCGAAGACTATAAGATCTAGGGACACCACATTTTATATTTTATTTTACATGCCTTATATGTATACGCAGATCATATGTATTTCAAAATTTGCATATGTGACGATGTGCATGTGTATTTTATTTTTTCCGTGCTTTGCAAAGAAGTAACTATCTGATGGAAAGGCAAGGAAAAGTCTAGAAGAGTTGTGTCTAACCAATTACTATCCAGATAATATAGTATATAAATGAACTTTCTCTCCCGCCTCTCCCTTTCTTTATTTCTTTCCATCTACATATGTATGTGGGATACTCTAACTTATCCAGCATTGGTCTTGACCCTTTCCAAATTTCTATGATTAGCTGCAAAGACATGATATAAGAAATGCCCCAAGCAGCGTTTGCTTTACTCGATGACGTAATAATGAAAACGCGACACAATAACAGTAATACACATTTTTATATATTTATGTACATACATACATAAATATGTGTTTGTTAGTTTCTCAACATGGGCGTGCGTGTATTAGTCATCTAGCAAGCAGAAGGCAGACATTTGTATGACTTTATTGGCGCCAAGCACTCTGCAGATTCCCTGCAGTAGCCATGAAAATCATTAATTTTTTGTTTAATTTTTTTGCTGTCCCATATTTAGTGCACCTGACCCCAATACTTGTTTCTGTAAACAAGTAAGGTAGTAAATTCACTGTTACTAATTTGTAAACATTTTTACAACATGGCGTAGTTGTACATAAATAGTAGTTGTACATAAATATTTTGGAGGAGGTGGAATGAAAAAAAGAGAAAAGTACAAGTCGCAAGCTGCAAGCTGCAGCCTCAGGCTTTTTATTATATTTAGTTGGTGAAAAATGTAAGGAAAATATGGCGTAGCAGACTCCAAAAAGTATACATATAGTATATATTATTGATCAGCATGACAAGGCGACTCGATCTAGACCTATCTGTCTGTTCGCCCGTATGATCACCAAGATCTCAGAGACTAAAAGAGATAGACAATAAATTTTGCACAAAGATGCCTTATTTGTGTATTTGCGTTTGTTTTATTTATTTTTTTTTTTACTCCCACTTCCGCCCTATGTATGCACAGATTAAAAAATTACAAGATAGAACGCTACAGTCGAGCAAGCCCAGTAAATTACCCTCTACTCTCCACAAAAGAAGGAAAATTAAAAAAAATTATTTTAAAAAATTTAATTAAATAATTAAATTAAAACAAGAGAGAACGCTACAGTCGAGCAAGCCCGACAGTGTAATACCCTGTACCCAGGTAAACTTCCGTCACTGAGTTATATGCGCCCATAGCAGCAGCAAAAAGAGGAAGAAGAAGAGCGAACTTGTTGCTGCAGTTTGGGGGGTTGTATTGGCGAGAATTTGTTTCGCTAATAACTTTTCTTAGACAGAATTGAATAAAATTTTAAACAACAGTGGATACTTATAAATAAATTATGTGTGCAAAGTTTGTTTTAGGTAGCATTTGAAATATGGACGCTATTGACGAAATTCTGTAGCGGGGGAAGGGGGGAAAATTCCAAAAAATAAAATAAACTCGGACCTAGGAGAATCTGGATGCCAACTTTGGTTATTCTAGCTTTTATAGTTTCTGAGATCCTTGCGTTCATCCAGACGGACGGACGGACATGTCTAGATCGATTTCTCTCGTCATGCTGATTCAGAATATATATACTTTATGGGGTCGGAGATGCTTCCTTCTGCATGTTACATACTTTGCACAAACCTAATATACCCTTTTTACCCTTCGGGTACAGGGTATAAAAATAGTCAACACATGAATACATACATAAGTGTTTATGTACAATTTCAATAGAATACATTTACATCAGTGTCGTGTCTCTGCGTGTTTATATGCGAATGCAGCACAATGTTGAAGCATCAACAACAACAACAGCTGCGGGCACATCTGCGGAACAAGCTTCGGCAGAGGTTATATTTATGTCTATAACTATCATGATGAAACTTGGCATACAGACTAACGGGATGTAGTTACAAAATGTTAGTTCGAAATTTCAAAAATTAGGGGAGTTATGGCAAAAACAAGAATTGAGAGGAGTGGGGGGTGTATCAGAAAAAATAAACAAACTTGACCTGCCAAGGGCTCAGTAGAACCTGAATACTAAGTTCGGTTATTGTAGCGCTTGTACTTTCAGACGGACTTGTACGGCGGACATGGCTAAATCTACTCGTCTTCTCATATTGATCAGTAATATATACTTTGTGGGGTCTGCCACGCCTCCTTCAGCCTGTTACATACATTCGCACAAAACTAGTATACCCTTTAACCCTTTGGATACAGGGAAAACGATAAAAATTAAAATCGAACCACTTTTCATCAACATTATTTATTGGAATTGAAACTATAAAAAAGAAGAATGTAAAACAAGAAAGGAATTATAAAGTCGAACAAGCTCAACGCTTAAATACCCTGTACCACCCCACAAAAAAGAAATTAAATTAATTAATTAAATTTGAATTAATTAATTAATACAGGTGTACTTGTACATATGTATGCATGTGTGTATTGGGCCTGGTTATATTGCTATAACTTTCTTTCTGATCAACCTATTATAAT